GCGCTCCCGCATTTGGAGCTGCAGCCTGTTCTGGGATGGCCACTGCCACTGGCCTGGCTGTGTCCCTTGCCACAGACACCCTGTCTGTCCTCCAGTCTCTGGCTTCCCCAGAGAGCGCTGCCTCAAAAAGGCTCTAGCGTGAAGCAGCTCCCTGCCTTCGGCTGTGTCTCCTGGAAGCCCTGGGCCAGGACCCAGTGTGTTCCAGGGCTCTGAGCTCAGACACAGGTCTCGGCAGTGGCGAGGAGATCCCAGGCAGGCCCCAAACCGTGGGGCATGTTGGCCACTTGACAGAATCCCAGGTTCTGATGTCCAGCCTGGAAGGAGACTGGGAAGGCCCTTTCCCCCTCCCCCAGGACCCCCCCTGGGTCTCAAGGCTCAAGTAGCCATGATCATGCCACTGCACTCCAGCCTGGGTGACAGAAGGAAGGAGGGAGGGAGGGAGAGTGGGGAGGTACTAGGGTGGGGAGTTGGCAGGCAGAAAACTTGTCAAAGTCCCACAGGAAGGGAGTGTCTAAAAGTAGGTAGAGGCCCAGAGTCAGGGTCACTGAGTCCAGGACAGGGTGAAGGTCATGTGTGCGACAACCACTCTAGCCAACAAGCGGGGTCTCACCAATGCTGAAGACAAATGATGCATGGGCCAGAGAAACGGCACCATCAGCCACTTTCAGATTCATGGCATGTCACTTTGGGGATGTTTTGTTATCCTGATGGGGGCAGGGGATCAGGGCATGTATCCAGAGTCAGAACTTCTTTTTATTTTTTATATTTTTTATTTTAGAACCTCTTTTGTTATTAGCATCTGAAACGGTAAGAGCAGACCATATCTGTGATTTCAGTTGATAAGGGAATATAAACAGTATTTCCGGCGGGGCATCATGGTGCCCCTGCACTGCCAGCACCTTGGGAGGCTGGGTTAGGAGGGTCACTTAACCCCAGGAGTTCAAGACCAGCCCAAGCAATAAAGGAATACCTTGTCTTTAAAAAACTAAAAAAAAAAAAAGAAAGAAAAGAAAAAAAATCTTTACGGATTTCATGCAACAGCTCTGAGATGAAAAGGTCTGAGATCTCAGCAACAAAAGCCACGCGTCTTGCCAATACTGCTTTCCGGGAATGCTGCTTGCATCCAAGATGGGAGGAAATGCTCAATGTCACTCAGAAGGAGTGAAGAGGAGCCAAGATGTGCTTTTCTGCACCCCACCCCAGGGTGCTCACCTCACCGGCTCCTCACTTGTCCATCTGGGAACAAGGGGCTGGAATCCGAGAGAAAACAGTCCTTGCCCCGAGGAGCCAGCCTGCATGGGATAACAAGGTCCCCAAGAGCTAGGCCAGGGGAGGGGCATGCACAGCTCTGGGCTTCCATTTGAGGGATGGAGGGCTGGCGTGAGATGGGGAAACTGAGGCCGAAGTGAGTATAAGGGGAAACAGGTGATGCTTCAACAGGACCAGAAGTCAGAGGACTATGAGCTCCCTGGAGTTCCCAGAACTCAACTGTAATCTCCTAAGCCACTGTGTAGTGCAGGCAAGCCCGAAGGCCCCCACCACTGGCCACTGGGTTCCCAAATGACCCCAGACCCCAGCTCAGGCCCAGAAAGCAGGGCAGGACCGGGGCCACCCTGCGAGGGAGGACCTCTTCCAGGCCCACTCAGTCAGAACAGCCATAATAATTCCTGTGGCATGCTCGAGGTGTGACCAGCCAGCGGGTAGGCTTTGGGTAGGGGTCTGGGCGAGAAGGAAACGGGGCTGGGCAGAGGGGACGGCAGGGCCCTCTCCTCACCCCACCCCCCAGAGAAGTCTTGAACGGTTGAGTTCTTCCTGCCACAGGTCTTGGCGGTTGAGTACTGGGACTAAGCCCCCAGTGAGAGGAGGAAGTAGACTCTGGTGGAGGCAGCGCCACCCCGCAGAGCACCCTGGCATTCTGCAGTGTGATTCTCCAGCTCTAGCCCGCTGAGTCTCCCAACAGAGAGAGCAGGCAGAGCAACCACGTGGGAGACAGAATGGGGCAGGAAATCCCAGAAAGGTGAACTCTGTCCTGGGTTGCCTGCTGTAGTAGTGAGCTTCCCATCTCTGGAGGAATCCAAGATAACATTGCAGTTTGCAGTGGCACCAAAGCACCTGTTCCCCAAGAGGCAGGGCGGGGCTGGGGAAAGAGTAAAGGTGCTAGCAGTAAGCAGATTTGGGCATGGAGTAATCAAGCTCCAGAGGGGTTCCATCCTGGCTGTGTGACATCGGGTACAGCGTGAGACCTCTCTGAACATCTGTAGCCTGGCTCAAATGCCACACACTTCACAGCCCTGCACACAGAGGTTGACCAAAGTGCCTGCCAGGGCTGGGGTGGGCTGGAGTCCCCTTCACCTAGCTACACTGGCTGCCTACTGAGCCTCCTACATGGGTATTCCTGCTCCTTTGCTCCAGCCAACCCATCTGTCCCTCCAGCCACCTCCCCTAGAAGGCCAGCCCATTCCATTGCTGGCATCCTTCTCTCTGAACTGGTTCTCAGGTGCAGCCACCTCAGAGGAGAGAGGCCCAGCCCCTAACCCTGACTGACAGCAGAGGCGGCCAAGAAGGCTAGAGGGTCCCTGTCTAGCCTGGCCCCCAATCCCCTCCCTCCAGCCAGCTCATCCCACTCCTCTTGGCTGAACCTCATCTGATCCCAGGGACCTCTGAGAAGAGAGAAACAGATCCTCACAACCTAGGCAGCGTCGGGGGAGCACCAGGGCCTCAATTTCCCCAAGAACTCACTGGCTGACACTTCTTAGCTCCCTAGCGGGTCTCCTTCTAGGGACAGAAATCTAGGTGTGATGACCTGGGCTGCCCTGCACCTGTCTGGCCTGAAGACATCACCTTTGCCTGGGTGGTGGTGGGGAGGCCAAGCCAGGAGCACAGAATCAGCAGGAAGGGACTTTTTATTGTTATTGTTTTCACACAGGGTGTCACTCTGTCACCCAGGCTGGAGTGCAGTGGCACAGTCCTAGGTCCCTACAACCTTGAACTCCTGCGCCCAAGTGATCCTCCTGCCTCAGCTTCCCAAGTAGCTGGGACTACAGGTGCATGTCACCATACCTGGCTATCTTTGTAAAATTTTTGCAGAGATGGGGTCTCATTATATTGCCCAGGCTAGGGAAGGTACATTTCTTAACCCTAGGGCTGCGTATACAGGAATCCATTTTATTACTTTTTAAACTGTGCATGTATCTGACACACACTCCTGTCTGTATTTTTTCACATTAAAATATATATATATATATTTTAAAGGAGCCAGGCACGGTGGCTCACACCTGTAATCCCAGCACTTTGGGAGGCCAACGTGGGTGGATCGCCCGAAGTCAGGAGTTTGAGACCAGCCACGGCCAACATGGCCCTGTCTCTACTAGAAATACAAAAATTAGCTGGGCATAGGGGCAGGTGCCTGTAATCCCAGCTGTTCCAGAGGCTGAGGCAGAAGAATTGCTTGAACCTGGGAGGTAGACGTTGCAGTGAGCCAAGATCATGTCACTGCACTCCAGCCTGGGCAACAAGCAAGACTCCATCCCCCCACCCAAAAAAAGGGGGGAGGCAGGCTCTGGTTCGCACACAATCCCCTCAATAGCACTGGAGCCATCCCTGGCCACCCTCTGCCAGCAGAGAACCAAAGCCCAGGCTGGGGTCCCCTCAGCCCTAAAGCGGCCATAACCACATGTAACCCCCATGAAATGTCTGCACATGGCCCAGCTCTGGCTAAGCAGGGGAAGGCAGCACAACCAGAAGGCCCCAGAGGCATCCACATCCCTCCCTGGGGCTTTCCATGAGCATCTGAGATGCCTATAGGGCGGGAGGGAGAGGTCCTTCCTCTAAACAGACTACTCTGCTGCAGCTTCACAGAGGTGAGACTTCAGATGGGAGCCCTAGGCAGAGAAAACGACTGAATTTTGGGGGCAGGAGGGTCACCGCTTCTGGGGACCTTTGCGGCCTCCGCAGGTGCAGCCCCAGTGGAGAGCTCCGGCCACCTCAGCCTCCAGAGGCAGTGAGGACGCCCTGCCCAAGGGGCCAGGAAGGTAGGTGACAGGGACAGCGAAGGGGCGCAGGAGGCCTCGGCCTGGACAAATCAGGATGCTTCCCGACCTCCACAGTACCCAGGGCACTGTACTGTGCGGACACCCTCCTAGCAAGCGCAACCCCACACGGCCGCACAAGGGAAGAGGGAAGGAACCTGGGGGTGGTGGGCAGAGCCAGGCCTCCAGCGCGCGGGACAGAGAGGCTGCGCCGGTCCCGGGACAGAAATCTAGGTGTGATGACCTGGGCTGCCCTGCAGGGAGGACTGCAGGAGGGACGCCTGAGAGCGAGGGCTCCTCTGCCTCAGACTGGATCTCAGCGGAAAGGCCAGCTCATCAGAGGCCGCTGCGACATCCCCTCTGGGCCCCACCCCCACGGTCCCCGTCTGCCCCCCGGGTCTCCAGGCCACCTCCTCCTTTGCTCCACCCGTGGCCAGCTCCCGGGGTCTGCTCCGGGCCCAGGCGTGACCCCGCTCGAGTCACTGCGGCCGTCAGGGCGCCGAGGCCAGTGGGGGGACACTGCAGGCTCCCGCCTTCGGACCTTCGGTCGCGGACCCGCGAGTGCCACAGGTTTCCACAGGGCCGGGGCTCGCGGCCCCGCGCAGCCTGGGGGCTAGGAACCCCAACCCCGGAGAGGGGCACCTCGCACCCCCGTCCTCAGTCACCTGAGGGCTCGCGGTGACTGCCGCGCCCGGAAGGAGGAGGGTGTCAACCCGGCCCCGCCGCTCTAGTTCCTGCAGGAGCAGGCCGGGCCTCAGTCACCGAATCTGTGAAACGGGCGGGAGGGAGCCACATGGTGTCTTCTCGGAAAACACACAGGCGCAGGCGCAGATCGGTGCGCTCGCCTTCTGGGCGCGCGCGCGCGCGCGAGGACCGCGGCCCAGGGCGGGGCGTCCCCGGCCCCGCCCCCGGCCCCGCCCCCGGCCCGGCCCTTGCAGCCCTCTTGGAGTCAGCGCGCCTGCGCCGCCGGCGCGCGGTGGGCGGAGTTCTCTATGTCTCCGCCCCTTACCCGGCGAGCTCTGCGTCCGCAGGCGCTGACGTGGCCGCCGTCAGAGCCGCCATCTTGTGGGAGCGAAACCAACGCCTGGCTCGGAGCAGCAGCCGCTGAGGTGAGGGCGAGGGACTCGGGACGGTGTGGGCCGCGGGCAAGTTGGAGCCGGCAGGGGCCGGAGACTGGCCTAGGGGCGACTTGAGGTTCGCGAGGAGCACTTCGACCCTCGCGGCGGCGCGATAAGGCCGGGCCGGGGGCGGACGAGGACGGGCCAGGCTGAGGCTGGGGCCCGGCCGGGGTCGGGGCTGGGTGGGCAAGCGGGTCGGTGGGCCCTTCGCGCCCCTGACAGATTCCCGACGTCGCCCGCGGCCCCGTGTCCTCCTCTGCCCGTCCCTGCCGCCGCCCGCCGCCCGGAAGTCCGCCGGGACGCCGGGCTCTTCTCCAGGAAGCCTGGGCTTCCTGCTTCCCTCGCCTCTGCCCTTCTCGTCTCCCGAAGCCGCCCGCGCGTGGAGGGTTGGGGTTAGCGGCCGCGGGGGTCGGTAGGCGCCGTGGGGCCTCCCCTACCCGAGCACGGGCGAGCGGGCGGCATCCGGGCGGACCCCTGCCTCAGGGACCGGGAAACTGAGGCTCGGACGGCCCCAGACGCCGTCAAGGTCACGTAGGTGGTGGGGGCTTGCACCTCCGCCTCCCTACTCCATCCAGTTCGTGTTTGCTCCGAGGACCGCACCGGCTGGGGGCGGCGAGAGCGGGCGGGCAGGTGGATGGGGACCCCGCGCCCGGCTCCGGCTGCTGAACGGAATGCGTGGCCTTCCGGGGGAGTCCAGAGTGCCTCCTTTCACACCAGTGAGACTCGACTGGGGGTCCACACTCACGGCCCCGTGGCCTCCGGAGGGCCGGTCGATCTTTGCTTTAACCCCAGGGTGGTTCCTTGTCCGCGGTAGATAAGAACGCCTCTTCTGAGCTGGTGAATCTTTAACCTGCCTGCGGAACGACCTGCTCGCAGACTCCGGGCCGCAGAGGCCGGCCCCAGCGCGCTCAGGCACGGCCTGCGTGGTTCCGGGGTGAGACTGGGGCTGGACAGCCGTGCGCACCTGGAGTGTTAGATAACCATTCCGACGGCACCTCCTGGCACTCTCGCTTTCCGTCCAGGCAGCCGGTTGCTCCTTTGCAGGAAATGAGCAGAAATGCACTCGGAATCGCGGGCAGGAAAAGAAGGGAGGTCGGAGGCTTTGGATGGTCCTTGAAGTCGCTGCCTAATTGATAGCTATGGAGTTGGTGCCACTGCCCCTGTTGGAGGGGGCAGTTGTAGTTCTTGTTTCAGAACTAGTGGTCAGCAGTTTTCTTTGCCGGCTGTTGCAAGGCTGGTGGTTCTGGCGTTTTCCGCAGTGTGTTTGGTAAGATTGTGAGATGCCGCGGTGCAGTTCGTGTGCGGCCCCTGTGGCCCTCTGCTTTTGCGTTTGCCATTTTCTAACACTTGTGACTGCATGGATGGTGTTCTGATTTAATTTGAATTTTCAGCAGCACTGCCACGGTAGCCAGAACCATAAGGTCCTGAAATCCAGTATTACTATCTGGGTCCAAAGTTGAGAAGAATTGAGTAGTGTAAATGTTAGTCACACATCTGATTAGCCACATTGTTAGAAGTCTGTTGTCCACGTTTCCACGTGTTGGTAGACTGGAGAATATCTGTCACTAGTCTTCGGGTGTATCTTGTTGAAAATAAATCCAAATCACTGCAGCAATAGGAATATACTGTTGCCTGTGAGGCAGATGTTCAGATTTGCCAGTTGAAAAAGATTTGAAACAGTTGGTTTGGACAACAGCTGAGTCACACAATGACTGTGAGTGAAAAGCAAAAATGGGTTCTTTGCTCCTCACAGTTCTGGTTTTGTACATCATGTGGCCTAGCTATGCGCTGTACCTCTTGCACAATACGGAGAGGACATTCAGACATCTTCCTTCACCTGCTAATCTGCCCCTACGGACCAGACAGACTTGAAACTATAGGAAGGTGCATTTGGCCTTTCATTCTGCACTTCAGTAAAATTTAATGTGGACTGTCAGCTGCTGCGGTGATCATAGAAGTAGACCTAAACCAAGAGGAAAAAACCTGTTGTGCAAGTTCACACGCAGAGTAGTATGACTGGTTCCAGAGAGTTGAAGCATTTCTTTTTATATTCTTCAAATTAAATGTCTCCTTGGTGTGTGGATTTAAACTTGCTCTTACTCACAGGCCAGGCGCACCAAGCTTTCCTACACACTTATTCATGAGCTGTGACCATTCCCTGAGCAAGAGGCTGAAGCCAGCCTGGCTGGTGGGTCCATGCTGTTCTCATAGGCTTTTCTCCCCTGGACCTTTCACCTTCATAAAGTCAAGAGGGTGAGAGGAAATGGAGTGCACTGTCAGAGGTAATTGGGAGAGAAACATGAAAAGGCCTTGCAGTAGGGATCTTAAATTATGAGGACTTTGTTTTCTGTGTTGTGCGTGCTCGTTGGCGTGGATGGTTGGTAGGGATATCCTGCCCATAGTGTCTGAAGTGGTCTTTTGCAAAAGGTTTGCAAAATCCCTTCATGTTGGGATTCCAGGCCTTGTCCTCATCCTCAGGTTCCCATCCTCTTGTGGTTGTTGTAAACTCTCTAAGGCATAGTTGCACTTATAGCTTTACAGCTGTGCAGCCACCTCACTGTCTTGGAAGGTACTTTCACATTCTCAGGTGGGTCAGATGACCTTGTTAGCAACTTGACAGACATGTCCTGGATGCTCTTTGTTGCCAGGAGGCTCTCAGGTCCTCCCCCAGGGTCCTGTCTCAGTCTCCTACAGGGATGCAGAGACAGTGAGGCTGGCTGATTAGGCATAATGTCCTTGACTAATCTTGGTTTCCTGGTTCTTACACAGTGGTAACAAGGGCTTGCAGCCAGTTGTCAGCCAACAGACTGGGAAGGGTGGTGCTTCTTACAGGCCCTGATAAAAGGAGAAGCCTAAATGGCCAGAAGAGAAGAGACAGGAAAAGCATAAAAGGCAGGCAGGTTTTCACAGGCACAGCAATTGAGAATGATTCTCTTCAGAAGGCAGACGTTCTCCCACACCACTGAGGCCCAGGGCTCACTGCTAGTGTCCAGCATGAAGTGAACAGGAGACTTGATTCAATCCATGAACATTTCAGGAAGTTAGAAGTCTGCAGTTGTGGATTGCAAAATACATATCTGGCCTGCCTCCCATTTCCTGGCATACAACTACTAAAATACTTGGAATCTCCAAAGTGATGATGTCTTTTTGTACAATGAGTTGACTGGTGACCGGCGGCCCCTACGAAAGTTTTGGGTGGGGCTAGTCACTGGGCCAAGGCAGGATTAGGGAGTTCCAAGTTTCAGCCCACCCTCCAACTTCCAGGAGCGGAGAGGGACTGAAGATTGAGCTGGTCACCAATGGCCCGTAATTGAATCAGTCACACCTATATCATGAAGCCACACTTTTGCCTTCAGTAGTTAACAGCATCTACAACCCTCTGTTTCCACATCTGTACAAAGGAATGTTAAGAGTGAACCACAGTTAAGTCAACCACACTTTGAAACAGCATGAAATTCCTTGTTGATGGGGAATACCCAAAAGGCCTGCCTGGGCTTTCAGAGAGCTTCCAGATAGCTGAATTCATGGAGGTTACTGGAGGGTGGCACACCTGGAGGGCATGGTAGCTCCATGTCCCTTCCCCCATACCTCGCCCTATGCATGTCTATATCTGTATTCCCTGTAATATCCGTTATGAAAAACCAGTAAGCTTAAGTGTTTTTCTGAGTTCTGTGAGCCACTCTAGAAAATTAATTACCCAAGAGGAACCCTGATTTATAGTCATCCAGAAGCACAGGTAAAATAACCTGGGGCTTGCGATTACCTCCAGGTAGACAGTCAGAATTGAACTGAGTTAAAGGACACCCAGCCAGTGTGTCCTGCAAAACTGGCTGCTTGCTTGGCATGTGGGGAGAAACCCCTGCTCATGTGGTGTGAGAAGTGATCTGTGTTGTAACAGTGTGTGAGAAACCGAGTTTGGGTTTTCCTCTGTCCTCAGAATAGTATATTTTGAAAATCTTCTAGGCAGAGTGTATCAAAATAGTTTTTATTCCCTAAAGGGATGCCAGCAGGCTAGAAAGATTGATTTCCAAAGAGCTTCCAGTGGTAGCATGGCTAGATATGAGACATCTTTCCATTTGTGTCCTACAGGAAGTTGTTTTTGCAGTACCATATACTCTACACGGGAAACTTAATGGTTCTAGTTCTCAAATAATATGCTGAAGATTTTTAATGGGTGGTTTTTAAAAATACTATTAATACATCATCTAGCAGTTTTGGTGGTGACATTTTTCTTAAAATATTTATGCGAGCCAGGCACTGTGCCTGACACTTGCATAGTCCAATCTGCTTGGGGGGCTGAGGCAGGAGAGTGGATCACTTGAGTCTAGGAGGTCAAGGTTGCAGTAAGCTGTGATCACACCACTGCACTCCAGAGACAGGGAAAGCATAAAAGGCAGGCAGAGTGAGACGCACCAGCTCTTAAAAAAAAAAAAAAAAAAAAAAAAAAAGTTATACCTGCTTACCAGTTGAGGGTGCCTGGGGGCAGGTTTAGAAAACAGATTTTGAACACACACCCCTGCCTCCTGTGGTGTCTGACATCACTGAGCTGCCACACTTTTGCCTTCAGTAGTTAACAGCATCTACAACCCCGTTTTCCACATTTCTACAGTCAGAAGAATGTTCATACTGAACCACATGCAACAAAAGTTTTTAAACAGCATGAAATTCCTTGTTGACATGATAGATTTTTCCTGGCAAACTCATTTTTAGGGTAAGCACATCTGCAGATGTGTATGGTTGGTCTTCATGAGCCCTACAGGTCTGATAAACATTCTTTTGCCATTGTTTTCTCCCCTCCTTGGTGGTGAGTCACTTGTGCAGTGCCCAGCAGAAGAGGGTGGGAGGCTGGAGAGGAAGGCCTGTTCTGGGCAGAGGCAGCTCTACTTGATGAGCATGAGGGCAGGGGCTGTGACGGTGAGTGCCACACAGAGCCACCCACACTGGCAGAGGGAAGGCAGGGAGATACCAGGACCATCCGGAAGGGGCAGACT